AAGTCCTTCCCCTCCCTGGCCATCACCACTACCTCCCTCCAAAACAGGTCCCAGAATACATACGAACTTAAGATATGGTAAAGTAACATTTCAAATCAGTGGGAAAAGAAGGGACTAGTCACTGAATGATTGTGGAGCAAGGGCATAATATTTTGGAAAGAAAAGTAGACTTCTCTATCTCACTGAAGACCAAAATAAACTTCAGCTAAAGACTTCAGTGTAGAACTGTGAAACCACATGACACTTAGAAGAAAATTTAGGTGTGTATTTATTTGATCTTGGGGTGGAGAAGTTTTTCTTCCTGAGCATAAAAGCAAACAAAACAAATATAGAAAGAAAATATTGACATAGTTAACCACATAAAAATTATCTCTGGGGCCAGCCCGGTGGCGAGCGTGGCGGCGCTCCCACCGAGGGGTCGGATCCCATGTGGAGACCAGTTCCCACTCACTGGCTGAGCGCAGTGCGGGCGCAACACCGAGGGTTGCGATACCGTTGCCGGTCCCCTGTACGGACGCGACATCGAGGGTTGCAATCCCGTTGCCGGTCAGTAAAAAAGACAAAAAAAAAAAAAAAAAAGGAAAAATTATCTCTGGAAAGAACACTCACTGTAAACAAACTTTCCATATGGCAATTAGGCAATTTTGATCTGACAATTACACCACAAGAAATTCATCCTAAACAAAATCAGAGGTGCGTAGCAAACATTTGTGTAGAAGGATGTTAACTGACATATTACTTATAATAGTAAAACTTTCAAAAGAGCCTAGATGTTTCACAATAAAAGAATATTTAAATAAATTGATGGCTCACTGTTCTACACCCATTCGGCAGTTAAAGCATATTTACAGACATAACCATAAATATTGTAATTGGCTAAAAAAAAGTTGTAAATGGTTGCTCTGGAGAACAAGAATTAGGGTTAAGGTGGAGCCCTTTTAAAAAAAATTTTATACCTTCAAATACAATCTGATTTTTAACCAATATGTATGTGCTACTTTCATACAAAAAATACAGAAATAAAATTGTATAACAAAATCATAACTTTAAAAAAAAATCATTGGAAAATACAGACCTAGAAAAAACATAAAGAGAATACCCAAGTATTGATTGTGGTTTTTCAGTAGGTGGTAAAATAACAGGAGATTTTAATTTTCTTCTTAGCATATTTATTTCTGAATTTTTAACAATGGATATAAAGGTTTTATATTCAGAAAAAAAATGAATTAAAAGTGAAATACGCTACTAATGTGTTATTACAAAGAAATGAAAGTGTTCTTTCTACTTCTACATTACAAATTACAGGTTTTCTATTGTCCCTGCTGCACATGTCCCCATCCTTCCTCTGGCCCCAGGCTGTCCGGCTGTTGGCTATTTCTGACATCCTTCCCCTTTCAAGGATGCCTTTAAAGCTCACTTTATTTAATCAGAATTAAAATGTTCTAAAGGGAAAGGGAAATAGGTAGTAGGCTCTGCCTTCATCCTGAGACTCCCTGCTCCCTACTCCACTTTCCTAGGAAGAGCCCTAGAATGAGAAGTCTGTGGACGTGTCCATTTGTTGCTGGTGAATGGCAAGATCAGTGGTTCTCAAGTACGGTCCCTGGACCAGAAGCATCAGCATCACCGGGCAGCTTATTGGAAATGAAAATTCTTGAGCCCCACCTCGGACCAACTGAATCAGAAACTCTGCGGGTGGTGCTCCGTAATCTGTGTTTTATCAAGTTCTCCAGGTGATTCTGATGCAGCTAAGTTTGAGAACCACTGGTCTGATGAATGGGAAAAAACTGCGAGTGTAACATATTTGGGGAATTCCTCACAAGCAAAGCCTGATCCCTCCCACTCTCTCTTAGCACTTTGCACATACCTTTGAAGTAGCGAGTATCATGGTCTATAGTTATTGCTTCCTACTATCTCCCCGTTAAACTGTGGTCTCTTAAGAGCAGGGACTATGGCTTTTTCGTCTGTCTCTGAAAGCACAGCACAGGAGGAGTGAGTGCTGAGTAGAAACAAATGGTGTCATTTGTTAGGAACCATTCCAGCTTCCTTGAAAATGCCTTACAGGCTTCCCCCTTAGCAAACTGAATCGCTTACCTCCTTGTGCTGTTCATATGCCCTTCCCAGACACCCTACCTCGATGGAATTCTCTCGGTACTTTCTAGTGGATATAAATTTCTACTCGTTACTCAGGTTAAACTTTTGGAAGGCATAAGTCACTCTCATACTAATTATACATTTGTCTGATATATGGTTTCAGGCATTTTTTAGTAACAGTGATGAAGCTTCCTCATGGCATTAACCCCCAATCTTCATTGTCATACTGTAGATCTTATAAATTAATATATAAAGATTACTAAGTGCCAGACAATGTGTGAAGCACTTTATGTAACCTAGTTCAACCCTCACTAAAGTCCTGCAAGGTTAAGTATTCTTATGTCTACTTTATAAATAAACTGAGGCTCAAAAAACTTAAGTTTGCTGACCAACTCAGATTTCTCTCCCATCCTCCAAACTCACATACTTGACTATCTACTAGCTATCTTTTGGACCAACTCAATTTGTCCAAAACAGATGCATCTTCTACCCCAGAGCTGTATTCTTACCTTCTTGTACAGCTCTGCAATCCAGACACCCAGGCCAGAAACTTCAGTCATTATGCACTGCTTTAGCTTCGGTACTTCCAAGTCCAATCAGACCTCAAGTTCGTGCAGTCCTATGTCTGTCGTACTATCTCTTAAATCTGTCTCTTTCTCATCTTTATGGCTCCACCTTGGTTCAGGCTCTTCCAGCCTCCCATTAAATTTACTGTAATAAGCTCTGTGATGGACACCTCCTGTGGGTGGCCACTGTCTATGCTCTTCTGCTGGCAACAGCAAACCTGGGAGCCTCTCCTCTCCCACGGGAGAGTTTCCAACATGTCAGAGGTTCCCATGAGAGATTCCCATGTTGTTCATGGGATTCCAACAGGGTTGATTCACCAACCTTCAACCCAGGACTGGACATGTGACCAAAGCCTCGGCAATCTGTATGTTCTAGCCTGGGGACTACAGGAAAGTCCGTGTGAACTACGCTGATCCAGAGGCCCAATCAGTGGACATTTTCATGTGAATTACTAGGGAAGACAGAAACTCTCTTTCCAGTGAGATAAGCAGGTATAAGAAACAATATGTGCTTGGAGCTTCTGAATGTCATTATGGGGAGAGGGTCCACAGGGGGATAAAAACAGCTTAGAGAGAAGCAAAGCTGAGAGATGGACAGGGGAAGAGGCAGGGAGAGAGCAGGAGGAGATAGTCAGAGGGCCAGACAATGCTGATGACACTGGACTGTGATGAGAGTGAAAAGAAGCCTTTATTGGGTTAAACCACTGAGATTTTGGAATTGTTATAGCAATTAGCATACCCTGATGAACATACCCTAAAATGTGTATGGTAACATAGTTTAATGTACCCCTCTGCCTAGTGGTTTGGGAGCACTGGATCGTTTCCGTAATCTATGTTTCCACGTTGGAAAGTAGTTAAGGACACTTTTTTTTTTTTTTTTTGACCGGTAAGGGGATTGCAACCCTCGGCACAGTGTGGTCCGCATCACGGTCAGCAAGTGAGCGCACCGGCCATCCCTATATAGGATCTGAACCCGCGGCCTCAGCGCTACCAGCGCCGCACTCTCCCGAGTGAGCCACCGGGCTGGCCCAAGGACACACTTTTTTGAAGGAAGTTTATTAAAATAAAAAACAATAAACTAGTAATTATTATAAAATATAATTTAATTTTACTCATTATTTACCACAAAATTTTAAAAATACCAATATACAGACAAGAGCAAGTGAGCAGGAAAAGAGCTAGAAATTGTACAAAAGACATCTAAACTCGAGAACGTACGAGGAGTAACACATACACACCATACGCTCTCAAACGCGTTCAGAAAGCATATTCCAGGGTGGACAGGTTTTCCTCCTAAGGTCAGCTTTTCCTGGCACCACATCTGGAAAGCTCTCCAAGCCAAAGTTCTTATATTATGTGAGAAGGATCTTCCCAGACTTCCCTTGGAAAGCATTTCTCATAAACAACCCACACCAGACAGCTAACTTCTTCTAGACACAGAAGTCAAAAAAGCCTCTCATAGACCCCATGGAGCTTGGAAATATTAATCTGCTAATGAAAACCAAGCACTACAAAAATGGAAAAGTGGCACCTAGTGGTCACTTAGTAGTTTTTCTTTATGGCTTCTAGATAATTGTAGATGTCAGCTCTTCTATGCCCATAACACTGTGCAGGGCAAATCTGACTTTCCAACTCCAGAGCCCCACGATGACTTACCTGAGTGGTTGATACCTCTTTAGAGAGGATCTGAAACCAGACACCACTAAATATGGTCTGGCAACTAGACACTGGCTGTTTCATATACCTGTGCCCCAGAGTTTACAGAGATTCCATAAGTCTGACAACCGCTATAGCCTTTTCTGTTGTGACACTGTAAATAAACACTTCCTTTTCATTCCATTTATTTATTAGAAAGCTCATTCTATATTTTCATGTTTGTCTTCCTGTTTCTCAATGGATTTCCACATTTAGTGATGACCATATGGTGTCAACATACTTATTTCATTTCAGGCTATCATCATGTAATAAAATAACTGATAAATATCATATATATATATATATATATATATATATATATATATATTTTGCAGCTGGCTGGTATGGGGATCAAACTCTGAACCTTGGTGTTAGCACCATGCTCTAACCAACTGAACTATCCAGCCAGCCTGATAACATTTTCAAGTTTACTATTTTCAAAAAAGTTTTAAATTTGGTACATGGATAGAGGCTCATAGGTATCTGATTGTACTGAACAAAGGATCAATAAATAATTACTCTTTAAACATAGTATTTAGAGGTAAATATCATCCTTCTGGTATAACATTTGGTCTACTTCAATAATATCCACGTAATAAAAAGTTCTAGAACAGCACTGTCCAATAGAAATATAAGGTGAGACATGTGTAATTTTAATGTTTTATTTAATTCAGTATATCCAAAATATCATTTGAACACGTCATTAATATAAAATTGTTAATGTGATGTTTTACATTATTTTTGTAATACTAAGTCTTCAAAATCTGGTATGTGTTTTACATTTGCAACACATCTCAATTTGTACTGGCCACATTTTAAGTTCTCAGCAGCCACACGTGGCTAGTGGCTTCAGCATTGGACAGTGCAGCTCTAGGGTCTACCGTAATGCTCAAGTCCTGTGGACTGGAATCACAGAATCATAGCTGGAAGTAAACTTAGACATCAAACTGCTTTTTACAAATGAGGAAACTGAGGCTCAGAGAATTTAAATGGCTTGCCTGAGGTCGCACAGCTAAAGTGAGACTGAATAGGGCCTTCTGATTCTAGGCACTCTTCCCACTCCACTGTTATTGTAGTGGTAATTCTTAGGGTTAAAAAAAAAAAAACAACTACAGTACTCTTTTTATAATACTTTCATGCAATTTATAGATCAATTATTTCTCACCCAAAGTAATTTGTAGGAGAAAGAAGTAATACAGTATAAGCCATAAAAATATCTGTCACTCCTAACAGCAATCAAATGTTAATGGAATGCATTTTGAAGGAAACACTAAAGTTGGGAGAACTACAGTATCAGACCACATGGATTGGATTCTGGGTCCAGGGCAAGAGGATCTCCAGAAAAATATAAGAGTGGACTGATCAAGGATTAAACCATGCACAAAGCATTCAATTGTCTATCTGTCCATTGGTCTGTTGAATTACTCTCCTCTTTCAAAGAGAAGAAACTGCCACTGTACAAGGCAGCAGTGGTCTGCCTCTCAATTCCTTGCATCACGAGGGTGCACCCCACCTGCTTTTGAGGCCGTCCAGCCAAGATGGTCTATTTTGCTGCCACTAGCTCAGGTAGACTCTTTAAAGGCCAAGCCCAAACTGCAATGGCTCATTCAGTCCCCTAAGAAAGTTATATTGCTAGGCAGGCCCCTCTGCCTGATTTAGAGAATCTTTAGTGATCTTTCATCCTTCTTTAGACTTAATATAATGCTTATGCTGCTGCACAGCAATCCCCCCCTTCCCCTCCCCATTGTAGGGTTTCTTTGGCTTATTCTAAACCTGGGGGTCTCTCAAGTCCTCAAGTGTCAGACCAGGAATGGTGCTGACCCTCTGATATTGCTGGAACACTGTATCAGCTCAAGAGAACAACGTGCCAACACATCCTTGCCCACACAACCACTGCAAATTTCACACTTAAAGGGAACATTTGCTTTTGGTTATTGCCTGTTGGTATGTTTGTCATTAACATGTCTGGTGAAAATTCTACTCTATCACCTACAGCTAGAGAAATATCATGCAGGGTCAAAATAGTGCTTTGTTTGGTGAAGGGCTCTGAGGGGAAGTTTTCTGAAAAGGTGTAGCACCATATAAGAAAGAAAACTGGATTTGAATCCCACATTGGAGCCTGAGGGCTTGTCCATTAGGTTCCAGCCTATCTTACTTCCATTTGTGAGGCACAAAAGAGAATATATAGGAACACACTTATATATACATATACATATATGTATATAGAATATATGAGAACACACTATAGATATTAAAACATAAGGCGTTATAAAAGTATGATCCCCAATATGTAGATACATAGTATTTTAAATAATCTTAATACTTAACATTCAATTTGAGCCACCTCTGGATTAATTACCGATTCAAAAACTGCTCTCCACATTTTTAATTAAAACTGATATTTAAATTATTTTTCATTGTCTCATGATTTTAAACCATGTACTTACTATTTATTCCACTACCTTTGGTTACAGGTAATAATAACCGTAATTGCCTAATAATCTAGAAGTCCACAGCTAATTCCTGGGTCAGTTAATTAGTCATTTAACCAGTGAGATCGTTGCCTTCCCAAATGTGTATGAAGAAACTAGTTTATAAACATAAAACATTAAAAAATTTGTGAATTTAATGTGTGACTTTACACAGGACATTTAATCTTCCTGGGCCTACTTCTTCCTCTTAGACTCACCTTTTACTAAGCATGTTTTCAACATTAAAAACCTGTTCTATGTGTAATGAAAGTCTTGAGTGGTTATACTGAGAATAAATATTATATGCAGAGGTTAATCACCAAGATCTAGGGCTCAAGATCCTTCTTTTTTTCTAAGCAAGTCGAAACTCCTTCAACTTTTTCTGAGTTTTAAATAAGAAATCATCTCATGTAATATCCATCTTAAAGTGCTCAATTAAGCACAATTATCCCAGCTTTGTGCTTGCCTAAGTCTACAAAGATGACACACAATATTCATTGTGATTATGACTATAAATTACACTGTCGCTTTAAATGTTCAAGAACGCCCCGTTTTCTTAACGTGTGTAAGCCCTGTCCTCAATTAAGGAAATAAGCAAGAAATGGGAATGTTCCAAATTACACAAACCTACTATTATAAGTGAATCTTAGACATAAGAAAAACATCAATATATTAAATTCCCCAAACTGAGAAAAACTGCATCAAAAATAAAAACAAAACCAAAACAATATGTACATGATATTCTTGGTTTTAGCAAAACTATGGCAATTAGTGAATTTAAGCTGGTTCACTGAGTAAAGGGTCTGTAATAAACTCTTGATTGGTTCTCTTTGGAGGAAAACATCTTATTTCCCCACGTTCCTGTGAGAGTAAGGTGCAAATGTATAAAAATTGGTAGAACATTCATAAAAGATAAATACAGTACTTTAAACATAAAAATCAAATGTTAGAGTGTCCACTGGATGTCACTGAAGTCACCAGGCTCCCCCAGACCCCCCTCTGCTTCTAAGTAATTCATGAATGCAGCCATGGCTGTGTCGTCATTGTCACACAGGGCATCGAAATCCAGCTGGGCACCATCACCTATCAAATTAAAACACAGGCCCGTGTGAGTAAAGGTGATCAAAAAAGGCACACATTTCACATACTTGGAGGTTAAAAAATGATTATCATCAAAAATGGCAAAGCAAGGCTGGAACACCATACAGTGCGTTTCTTTTTTTTTTTATTCCTTTTTGTCTTTTTTCGTGTCCGGCAATGGACCGCAACCCTCAGTGTCGCGCCCGCACCGGACCGGGACCGGCAACGGGATCGCAACCCTCGGTGCTGCGCCCGCCCCTCGCTCAGCCAGTGAGCGGGAACCGGTCTGTATGTGGGATCCGAACCCTCGGCGGGAGCGCCGCCGCGCTCCCAAGCGGCTCACTGTAGCAGTGCGCCACCGGGCCGGCCCCATACAGTGTGTTTCTGAAGGCAAAAGTATAAATCTTAAATTGCAGAAGCCTCATATATTTTTAAGTGTGTCACCTATTTTTATAACAATCTGCTGTCACATAAATTGCACTTAATTCATCTGATGCATATAAGTGAGCTAGTCTATGAGTTTTGTAACAGAAATTGACACCACTAAAGGGTACAGATTCCTAGACAGTTGGAAGTTAGGGGCTGGGGGTTATGTGTGTGTAGAGAGCCTAGAAGGAGAAATTTAACTTGAATTTACTTTGTGAAAAAACTCTAGTTAGTCCTAAAATGAAAAGGCTGAGACAAAAGCTTCATCTACCAAAAGCTTGAAATTTTCTTATAAAAAGGGGATAACCAGATTTTTGATTGAAAAAAGAAAAAAAGAGGAGTCATGGAAATGAGATTTAAGTTAGAGATAGGAACAGGTTCTAGAAATTAAGGGTTAAAATGCAGACAAAGATTAACCAAAGTTTTCGAGATAGCTTTCAAAGTGCAATAGAATTTGAGATAATTAATATGTGGCTTGATGTGTGTTTGAAGCTGATATCCAGGTTCCTTCAAGTCCTTTGATTCTCTTTAACATATGCTTTCAGCAGAGCAAGGCTGGTTACAGGGGGTATGAAACCATGTCCTATGGGTTGAACCTGCCCCCCAAAGTTCACGTGTTGCAGACTTAATCCCCAATGCAACAGTGTTGGGAAGGGGGGCCTAATAAGAGATTAGGTTATGAGTGCTCTGTCTTCACGAATGGATTCACGTTGTTATTGCAGGATTGCACTGGTTATAAAAGTGAGTTCAGCCCTCTTTTGCCTTCTGTCACCCTCTCACCTTCTACATGGGATGACACAGCAAGAAGGCCATTGCCAAATGCTGGTACCTAAATCTTGGACTTCCCAGCCTCCAGAAACATGAGCCAAATAAATTTCTGTTCATTATAAATTACTCAGTCTGTGGTATTCTGTTATAGTAGCATAAAATGGACTAAGACACTATGTCATTTTAATTTACTTGATTTGGACTTTGCATAAACATTATTAAAATGAATGGTTACATCTTAAACTTCTTATGACTTGTACCTTTCTAAATTTCTTAATAATTCTTGATAATGGACCTCTTTTCTTAGTTAGAAATACCTTAGTTTTATTTAAATTATGTGTAGTTAGCAATACCCATAGCTCATTGAGTTGATTACTGAATTTTTTTTTTTTTTTTTTTGTCTTTTTCCGTGTCCGGCAACGGATCGCAACCCTCAGTGTTGCCCCCGTACCGGACCGGGGACCGGCAACGGGATTGCAACCCTCGGTGTTGCTCCCGTGCCTCGCTCAGCCAGTGAGCAGGAACTGGTCTGTATGTGGGATCCGAACCCTTGGGCGGGAGCGCCGCCGCGCTTCCCAAGCGGCGCACTTATCCAGTGCGCCACCGGGCCGGCCCTGATTACTGAATTTTTAATGACACATCCATTAAGTAACATACATTTTAAAATCAGGAGTATGATTATTGTAATTAGAAATTTTGAATGAAAACATCTTAGTTTTAAAACTATTTGCTTCTCTGGAAATCTCTTGCACCTGAAAAAACAGTAATTAAGAGGGAGTTTTTGGAAAACCAAAACAGCCAGCAGTTTGCAAAGAAAACTTACTGAGGAGGGGTTCCTGCCTGTGGACAGCAACTGTGCTCTGGGTTTGCCTGGTAGGCTCCAGCTCCCCCATTTCAGAGGGACTTAGTGGAAACAACTCCTTATTTGACATCTGAAAAGACAGTCACAATAACAGTTAGTAAGGTTCCGACTTGAATGAAATAAAGACCTCTCAGAAGTTACTGGACAGACGTGGGCCTGTGCCAGCACCTCCACGACCACCCTACACACGGCAGCTTGCACTTACTGCATACGAGGTGCCCAGCTCTCCACAGGCACCATCTCACTCCACTCTTCAAATGTGAGGTAGCTGTGTTACAGGTCATGAATCTGAAGCTTAAAGAGACTGATATCTTGCCCAAGGGTTGAAGCCATGATCTTAACCCCAAGCTACCTGACTCCAAAGCCCACATTCTAAAGTTACAGACTATAAGAAAAAGTTTTGGCTTAAGAAGGAAAATTTCCTTCTTCCTTCAAATGCTCGAAGTTATTTCAGTTTTTAAAAAATGATGGCAGAACTATACCTCATATAAAACTACTTCAAGAAATACTGTTTTGGAGTGGGTAACAGATTAAACCAGATGCTTTCATCAAAATTACTGGCTAAACAATCTAATCAACGTAGCTCACAAAATAAATCATTTACCTACATTGCCTCATGCATTTACCTATGGAATGCCTATATAATGTACACTACTTAGAGATTTTTGTTTATTATGATTTAAATCTGTTTTTAGCAGATTGCCAGCAAACGTTTGCTAAATGTATAAATAAACGAAAGTACAAATGACAGACCAGAAGACTTATGATATTTGTTTAAAAATACATATTGGTATTTTCAAGTTCCTGTTTGTCCCTGGTCAGATGTAATTTTTTTTTCTCCTGTATTCTTATACCACTTATTTTACATACCTACTTTATAGCTTTTTGTTGTCTGTGTTATGTTAGAATTATACTTTATTTCAGTCTTCCAGCAGCACTAGGTTTAGTCATTTTTTATATATGCATTAACATTGCATTTCAAACAGCTAGTATTTGTTCAATTGAGTTAAATAGTATATTTAACTCTGCAGCTCATATTGTTTAAATTTTTTTTTCCAAACCACAAGGATTTTTTCATTCATTGAATTGAAACCTATTAAAATAACAACAATAATAATAGCTACCATACATTGAGCACTTACTGTGTGCCAGGCACTGTTTTGAGAGTTTTTGTCTATTTTTCTACTTAATTACTTAATTTTCACACACCTCCAGGAAATCAATGACATTATTATCCCTGTTTTACAGATGAGGAAATTGAAGTATAGATAGTTTAAGTAACAAGCTGAGGATACACAGCAGTAAGTGTCTGAGTCACGACTTAGACCCCGACAGGATGCTTCCTACAGCTTCATCCTTAACCACTATTCTACACTGCCTCTTAAAAACCACTGTGTGGCCAGAAAGAGTTCACTTTTTTTTTTACAGGATGGCTTCTTTTCTTTAAAGAAATAATCAACAAGGAGCAAATTTTATTGTTCATTTATTTCATAAATATTATCATTTACGAGTGTACTTACATTCCTGCAGTTGACAGTGTGAGTGTCTTTCATTAAGTCTGCTGGACTTGTGTCATCAAGGGATGAAGACGACTGTAACCTTTCAAAAGTGATACATAAAATGTTTGTTCTATTTACACATTTCAGAAGGAAATTTTCTCCTCTGAATGCATAATAATCTACTGATAAAAATACAGGAACTTGAGACTGAGTATCACAACAGCTTTCCCAATTAGACTGACTTGTTAGGTGCCAGGCTTATTTTTAACTATGGAGTGCTAACACTCCACGGTAATAAAAAAATAAAGCTGTGAGGTAAAAGCTCTTAAGTAAGTCATGTTACCTGTCAATGTAGCATGTGGCAAAGTAACAGAATAACACAACACAATTTAAAACAGACACTCACAGTAAGAATCAGTTCCTCATCAAGATGCTAAATGCCAGAACTGAGAGTAAAGAAAGATTTACTGAAATTCTGTAACCCTTTTTAAGTGAAAAATACATTATATTTTTACTGTAACAGATCATCCCCAGGCTAAAAAAAAAAAAAATCAATGAAACACATACATAGTTAACAGAATGGCATAAAGATAACTTTATGTGTTCATGTATTCCCAAGAAAGCAGTTTTGATGAGAAACTATGGAGGGAGAAATTTAAACAAAGGAATGAAGTGTCTTAGGTAGGAAAACACAGAGATGAGAAGATTGGTGACCTGTCTGGGGGATTTTCCACGGGACAATCTATGTTAAGAGATTGGCCAGTTTTTCATTCTGTGGTTCATGTTTCCTAGCCCCAGCTTTATTAACATAACAAAATTGACAAAAATTGTATATATTTACAACATACAACATGATGCTTTGAGATATGTATATACTGTGAAATGATTAAATCAAGTTAATTAACATATTCACCTTACACACTTAACCATTTTTTGTATTAAGAACACTTAAGATTTACTCTCTTAGCATAGTCACCATGCTATACAATAGATCTCCTGAACTTATTCACCCTGCCTAACTGAAACTTTGTACCCTGTGACCAACATCTGCCCAATCCGCCCTTCCTACCCCAACCCCTGGTAAACATCATTCTACCCTCTGCTTCTTAATTCAACTCTTTTAGATTCCACATACCAGTGGGATCATATAGTATTTGTCTTTCAGTGTCTGGCTTATTTCACTTAACATAATGTCTTCCAGGTTCACCATGTTGCAAATGACAGGATTTCCTTCTTTTTTAAGGCAGAATAGTATCCCATCGTGCGTGCATGTGTGTGCGTGTGTGTGCGTGTGTGTGTGTGTGTGTGTGTGCAGTCATGTGCCACATAATGGCATTTCAGTCGACAGACTATGTATATGATGGTGGCTATACCATATAGCTTAGGTGTGCAGTAGGCTATATCATCAAGATTTGTGTAAGTACACTCTATGATGTTTGCACAATGACAAAATTGCTTAATGATGCATTTCTCAGAACATATCCTTGTCATTAGGCAACACATGACGACATACATCCCATTTTCTCTATCCTTTAATCTGTCTATGAACATTTAGATTGATTTCATATCTTGGCTATTCTGAATAATGCTGCAATGAACATGGGAGTGTAGACATCTCTTCAACATGCTGACTTCATTTCCCTTGGATAAATACCCAGAAGTGGGATTGCTGGATCATATGGTAGTTCTACTTCCAATTTTTTGAGGAACCTCCCTACTGTTTTCCATGATGGCTGCACTAGTTTACAGTCCCACCCACGGTGTGCAAATGTTCCCTTTTCTTCACATCCTCACCAACACTTGTTATCTTTTGTCTTTTTGATAATAGCCATTCTAACAGGTATGAGATAATATCTCATTGTGATATCAATTTGTATTTTTCTGATGATTAGGGATGTTGAGTATTTTTTTCATGAACTTGAACATTTGCATGAACTTGAGAACTAACTATATTCGTTTATTTTAACAATATTATTGGGCCAGCCCGGTGGCGCACTGGCGAGTGCGCCGCTTGGGAGTGCAGCGGCGCTCCCGCTGATGGTTTGGATCCCATGTGGAGACCGGTTCCCGCTCACTGGCTGAGTGCGGTGCGGACGCGACACCGAGGGTTGTGATCCCGTTGCCGGTCCCCGGTACAGGCACGACACCGAGGGTTGTGATCCTGTTACCGGTCAGTAAAAAAGACAAAAAGGAAAAAAAAACCAAAAAAAAAAAAAGGTTACCAGTCAGTAAAAAAGACAAAAAGGAAAAAAAAAACAAAAAATACAATATTATTATATTCGTCATTTGAGAGCTAACTATATTCATAACCTTCACCCCTTTTTAAATCAGGTTATTTTCTTACAATTGAAGAATAGTTGAGTTCTTTATATATTTTGGATTTTATCCCTATATATGGTTTGCAATGTATGCTATACGAAGTTATTACGAATATATTCTCCTGTTCCATAGGTTGTCTCTTCACTCTGTTGATTGTTTACTTTTTTCTGCAAAAGTTTTTTAGTTTGATGTAATCCCATTTGTCTGCTTTGCTTTCGAATATATTCTCCTGTTCCATAGGTTGTCTCTTCACTCTGTTGATTGTTTACTTTTTTCTGCAGAAGTTTTTTAGTTTGATGTAATCCCATTTGTCTGCTTTGCTTTCGTTGCCTGTGCTTTTGGGACCACATTCAAAAATCACTGCCCAGACCAATGTCTTGGAGCTTTCCCCCTGTGTTTTCTTCTAGCGGTTTGTACACTTCTGGGTATTACATTTAAGGCTTTAATCTATTATGAGTTGGTTTTTGTACATGGTTTGAGATGAGGGTCTAATTTCATTCTTCTGCATGTGGGTATCAGCTTTTCCCAGCACCATTTACTGAAAAGACTGCCCTTTCCCCATCGTGAGTTCCTGGCATCTTTGTTGAAAATCAGTTAACCATAAATGCATGGATTTATTTCTGGGCTCTCTATTCTGTTCCAGTAGTCTTGTACATGTCTGTTTTTATGCCAGTACCATGCTGTTTTGATTACTATAACTTTGTAGTAGATTTTCAAATCAGTTAGTGTAATGCATCTGTGGCAGTATCCATACTTCTTAAAATTTGATTTCCAAAACACTATTTTCCTAAAATTCAAAGATATTCTGAGTTTGAAACATATATAGTCCCAAGTATTTTAGATGGGTAATTATGGGCCTGTATACATACATGCCCACACATATATACAGATATGTCATTCTCTTTCCTTATACAAGTGAGTTATTATACTTATTATTCTTTTTTTTCTATTCTGGGCTTTTTTTCTATTTACCATATATTTTAAAGATCTTTCTATATTAGCATAAATAGAGCTACCTCATTTTTAATAGTTGCAGAGTATTCCACTGTATAAATATTCTATAACAAGTTATGGTTATGATAAATATTTGAATATTTAAACCACTACTGTAAACAATGCAGCAGTGAAGTCTTGTTCATAGATCTTTGCACAGTTGTGGAAAAGTGTTTGCTCCTGGGGTAGAATTGTTGAGTCTAAGAATATACACAATTACATTTTTTATGGGTATTGTATAATTACCCTCCAATATTGCACAAATTTATACTCCCAGAAACAGTTTATGCGTACCTGTTTCCTTATACTCTTGCCAATATCAAATATTATCAAACTTTCAAATCTTTGATAATCTTCTAAATGAAAAAAGGAACCTCATTATTTTTAATTTTGTGTATAAATTTATCTTTAACTATGAGTAGAGTTAAGCAATTTTTAAAGTTTCTTGGCCATTTTTATTTTTCTTTGTTTATGTCTATCAACTTTTTAAAAAATTGAATTATTTAAAAAAATTGTTTAATGACTATTCTTTACATTCTACATAAAGTTTAATAAACGGCTTAATATATAAAAAGCATATAAAGTTTAATAACTTTATTCTTTACACTACAAAACTGTTTATATATTAATACAGTCTGTTTTATCATATGAAATGCATACATTTTCCACAGTTTATAATTTATCTTTTAACTTTGTTATTATGGTGGTTAATGCTTAAATTTTTAATTTTTATATAATTAAATTTATTGATTTTTTTTTCTTAATGAATTCTAGATTTTGTGTGATGTTTAGAAAGGACTTTTTCCAAATTCAGATTATAAAAATCCATACCTGCATTCTTGAAATACTTTTATAGTTTTACTTTGAACTCTTAATTTACCTGGAATTTATTTTAGTGTAAAGAATAAAGTAGGGGTCTAGCTTTATTTTTCTGCCAAATGGTTACACGGTTATTATAATGCCCTACTTAATTCATTTCTACTTACTGATTTAAAATGTCATTTTTACCATATAATACATTTCCATATGCATTTGAGTCTATTTCTGAAATCTAATCTTTTACATTGATCTACTGTAGTCTGTACACAAATATTTTAGTGACTATTGCTTTATAGCACATTTTAATGTCTTTTAGGGTTAGTCTCACTATATTTCTTTAATTTTTCAGAAGTTTTATGGATATTTTAATATGGTTAGCATCATTTGTTGGAATCCAAAAAACAAATGTATAGTAGTATTTTCATTGGATTCAAATTGAATTCATAGGTTAGTTTAAGGAACACTGATATCCTTACAATACTGAGTCTTCCCATTGAAAAAAAGTTTATATCAGGAAAGTTGTTTTAGGCATCTTTCACATACCATTGCAGACTTTGGTTATTTTTCATGTAGGTCTGGACACTGCTTGTAAAATTTATATCTTAAACATTTTATCTTTTTTGTCGCTACTGTAAAGGTGATCATCTTTCCCATTATATTATTAAACTGGTTATTGTCTACATATAGGGAAACTATTGATTTTTTGTATATTGGTTTTGTAAATATGATCATTTTACTTGTGAAAATATTAGCAGCAATAAAACATTACCTTTGTAAATCCAGAACTTCATTTGCAATATCTGTTCCAACACTACCAGCACCAAGTACTGTTCCAGTAGACGCTTCAGGCACACTGATGCAAGACTGTCTAGAGGATTCTAAGTAATAACAAAAGGAAAAATTCAATTGAGTATATAATTTTGGTTAATATCTTCCTTAGAATTCAAACAACCTCCCAGTTCTCTCCTTAAAAGAAATAGATTAGCTGCATCCTAAAATGTTAGAAAACATTCATCTTTGCATTACAAACATAACTCAAGATGCTCTCAGATGCATATAAAGAGTGATATGAATCAAATATGTAGAAAGTCATGAGGGCACGATCATGACCTGTGGCCCCTGAGTACAGATCCTTCCCACTTTAATCTCCACACTAAAGCCAGATCAGTACTACTTTGTTGATACTTCCTGATATTTTTGTTTTTATTTATACAATATATTAATACATTTCTGTGGATTACTAATGCAATTGCATTTATTAATAACTAACACAAATAAGCAAAAGCTGCCCCTTAATACTTTTCATTAATCTGTCCAACAGATATTTAGTGAGTGCCACAATGGACAAGGAACAATGCAAGCTTCTGGGGACAGGGAATGGATCAAACACCATTCCTGCTGCTGAAGAACTCACAGTCTGGTAGAAAGCCACTTCATTGCACAACTAACTGTAGTCCCAGGAAAGATTATAACAGAAGTGTGAGCACAGTGCTGTGGGAATTTAGAGAGGAATATGGTGGTACCCCTGGGAGTTTCAAATGGGATATTTGTTTCCCTTTGAACTTAGTCTCTTACTTCTAACCCAAAGTTGGGATTCCCATAACCCAACCCACAGAAATCTTTTCAATTTCACCTTGAAATTTTTCCCTCTCTGAGACAGTAAAAGATAGCAACTTCCTAATAATAGAAATAGCCTTAACAAATACTCGTCTGTCTTAGCAATAAGTCTTCCATCCTCTGAAACTAACTCACCTTCTGATAATTGAGAGCTGAGAGGAAATAACGGTGCTTCTCCAGTCTCACTATGCCCCCTAGAATTAAGAAACACTGTAGCTGATTTTTTCTCTAAGGTGAAGGGAATCGTTAAAGCAATTACATTAAGCTCTGTGTATTAGATTTATCAATTCTTGGCTCATTTATGTTTTATATACACATATTATTAATATCACTGCCAGAGATCAAGGTATTGATGTGCTAAGTATCACGGCATCTGCCAAATGCCCTGTTACTCCATAAAGTGCACGTTCTCACAGTAACAAACTCTCAGTTCATGTACTAATGATAAGAAGCCAAAGATTATTGGGATGGGTGAGAGAATATTGGAAGTACTAAATTTTTATTAGTTTTTTTAAATTAAATTTTGTAAATAAGGAAGCAAAACTGGATTGATGAAACCTTATAGCAATTTCAAAGAGAAACTTACAGAAAAATAAAACTTAAGACAAGGCCATAGTAGTATATTATGCAAATCAGGAAAAGGTGGCTCTCCCTTCAGGCTGGCACAGCTCCAGATTAGGGCTTGCTAAGCAACACTTGGGCTGGATTTCTGCTCACTCTTTGGCCAAGCACCCCCGTGCTGGGCACACCCTGCACAGACACATGTGGCACCCAAGCCTTAGAAGATGTCCACACAAAAATGATGGGAGGACAAAACAATTTTTTACAATGATATAAAGTTTAAAGACATATCTACTTCGTTTGTTGTATGGCCATGGAGGGTAGGAAAGAAATGCCTGAATAAATGCCTTTACTATCATATATCACACCAAGTAAGAAGGAATATATTACAAAAGGGCAAACTTCTAACTTAATTCTGAGAACTAATGCCAATAAACAGAAAATGAATTTCTCAAAATATATATCTCGAGTGGTAATATATGGCCAGAGGATCATACCATTTTAATGAATTAGCAAGATGAGAAGAGAAAAGCAAAGATATTCATTCGAAATTAATATAAAGGTCTTAACAACATAAAAAATTACTTACAAAACTAAAGTGTTGACAGACACAATATATTCCAGTTCTTTGGTCCAAGGATTTGTGAAACTAAACCACTGGCTTTTTAAAGTTACAAAAGAGCCATCTTTTGCTCTGAATTTGTATGAGTCTGTAGATATTTTCTCCTTACTCTGTAGAACTTAACAAGAAAAGGTAATAATCAGCATAACAGTGTATCATTATAAAAATCAATGCCTTGCAGATTCACTCAAGTTTCAGATTTCACAGGAATGAGAAATTAAGGGTTAAAAAAGTACCCCACTTGATGCATACCCACCTGCTTTGTGCTTGTCAGTCAAATTACTGTGATCATCTTGATGAAAATATTCATAACAAGAAGTTCCCAACAGTTCCTGAGGCAAATATCCTAAGATTGCTGTTGCCCTGGTTTAAAATGGAAAGTAAACTTCAGATTGGTGAGTGTACTCCCTCCCAGAATACTGAAGGCCCATAACAAGGGATTAGAGAAATGGACTGGGGGACAAGTAGCCCATGTGTTCCCTTTGGCTGCCTTTGGCTGTTCTGGACGCAGACAGGGGCTACAGCACAGTACAGTCAGGCTTGAGGTCACCCACCCAATCCAGGGTACGCTCTTACTACCATTGACCAGTAAAATTGGGGCCACAGACCAGGCCCCGTTCCGCACCACTGGCTAGGAAGTTTTATTGCAAGTTTATACTTTGTCTTGAACAAATTTACTTGAAACAAACATATCCTTATTTCACTTAAACTTTATTTTCTATTCCGAAGCCATAAAAAACAACACAGCAGTGCTATTAAGACATCTTTAATAGCCTTAAATATCCCATTGAACTCTAATCATTATGGCATGCAGATGTTTACCTTTGATCTACATAGACAAATTTTCCATTCATTGCAAATCGGGTTATAAATTCAGGTGGTTTCACTTTAATCTCTCCACCATTCTGTGGGACAGTACATGGATGTAATCTTCCAATGGCAACAAGGCAGGTGGAGTGACTGTTGTCTTTCTTACTGTGTCTTTCTTCTTCCATTCCAACAATATTTGGAGGCCAGCTTCTCAAGTAACCAGTGCAGTGGATAGTACAGAATTTTCTCTGATCTAAAAAAATTTTTAAAGGACATTTGGATCATTATGAATAAATTTTTGAATTTCTTACATTGACATTTATAATAGATATAATTGTGCTATAAAATGTTCTTTGAGGGCCGGCCCGGTGGTGCACTGCTACAGTGCGCCACTTGGGAGCGCGGTGGCGCTCCCGCCAAGGGTTTGGATCCCACATACAGACCGGTTCCCGCTCACTGGCTGAGCGAGGTGCGGGCGCAACACCGAGGGTTGCGATCCCGTTGCCGGTCCCGGTCCGGTATGGGCGCGACACTGAGGGTTGCGATCCGTTGCCGGACACGAAAAAAGACAAAAAGGAAAAAAAAAATGTTCTTTGAATACACTAAAATATGAAAAGGGAATAGCACTGTAGTGAAAAGAAATCATCAATTTTGTTTAACAACTTTATTCCAAATGGGTTCTTTTTCTGAGAAACTAAATTATAGGCACTACATCAAAAAGCTAACAGGTTGCCGTAATTTAGGATTAACCAAGTCTATAGCTTAACATATTTCCAAGTCAGTTTTTTAAACTATAGTAATTTATATATGTTGGAAAAAGTTAAACTTCATGACCCCTTGTGATATTGCTCTCAACTTATATTCAAAAGTTAAAAAGAGGATATTTTAATCATTATTCAGAAATGCTTAAATTTCTTATGCTAGCGCTTTTAATGGTTAATAGATATGTATGGTTATAATAGATTATAGAAGCATTTTAGAGAACACTTGGAGAAATTGATAATAAAAGAAAATAAAAATAAAATCTGACTCAAAAATCTCACTTTTCAGGAAAACTCCACCAACCAGAATAATAAAAAATTCGAAATAATCCATATGCTCAAGTATCAGGAAATGCTTAAGAAAACTACTACAACACAGGCATAAAAGATGGGCGGTATACAGATTACAGCACTCCACAAAAAAAGTGATTTAAAAGTTAAAAAGTAGGAAAAAATACCTGACAAAAATGACTTAAAACGGTTGTTTGTGCTAAGTTTTAGAAAAGACCAGAAGAAGCACTATTTTAAATCGGCACTATTTGGCAAAACTGTTCCCACAATAAAACTTTAAATACATTTTTTAAAAAATAAAAGATGATATGGGCTGTTTTGTAAGACAGCGGCTAATAATAAGAGCAACGATTTATAGAACACTTTATGTGCCATACTGTTTTAAGTGCTTTAAATGTATAACTCATTTAATCTTCTTAATAGTTCTATGAGACGTTCTAATATTACCTCCACTGTCTTAGGAAACAGAGTTAATGCCGAGGTCGCTGCAGGGTAAGGGAGGAGCTGGTGTTTAAACCCAGACAGACTGGCTCCAGAGCTCACTTTCTGAACCACTAATGCCGTGCCATCTGATGATGCTGTGTGAGTGCTGTCATGGGAGGTGTTCAAACAGGAGCTGCCTGGGTGACAGAAGGAGAGGGGTCCCAGAGGGGATCCAGCCAGAGGGAACAGCCAGTGCAAACTGAGAGCCAGTGAGCAGGCAGATGTGGTGAAAGCACAGGCTGCAGGGGGACAGTGGCTGGAGAAGAAAGCAGGGACAGAGTGGGTAGGTCTGGTAAGCCACGCACAGGACCTTGTACTCAACAGACACTAACCCCTCCATGGACCGCAGATGCCTCAAATGTATTTTTCGCACTTATTTCCTACCCTGTTTTATGGCACCAACAATCAATCCTGGCAGTTAAAAGAGAAACCTCAGAGTCATTCTAGGCTCCTGCCTTTATATCACCCCAACATCCAAGATAACTTAAAGGAATTAAAATGGGGCTAAGTGTGATACAAGGTTTTCATTAACGAAACTAGATGGCGGTCAAAATAAAAGGTGTGTACACCAAGTTGGCATTTCTGCACATTTACAAAGGATACTGACTAAAAATATTCCATTCAAGTGAAAATACAGACTGAAAAAAGACATCTTATATTTATGTACAGAATCTCACCTCACAGAACCTAGTCTGTTACTTTGACTCTTCTTACAACAGGGTTGCTATCTTCATGTCTGAATGAATCTGTCCCTCAAGTCTCACCTTGAACATTTATTCAGTTGGCAAATTTCTAGTTGGGATTATGTCCATCCACTGCAGTTCATTTAATAAGTTATCTGAAGTTTTTTTTAAAAATCCCATAAAAGTATTCTTATTCTTTTTTTTCCCCTTTTTGTCTTTTTTCATGTCCAGCAACGGATCGCAACCCTCAGTGTTGCGCCCATACCGGACCGGGACCGGCAACGAGATCACAACCCTCGGTGTCGCGCCCGCACCCCGCTCAGCCAGTGAGCGGGAACCGGTCTGTATGTGGGATCCGAACCCT